ACAGCTACTCTGAGGCTCAATGATGTCAAGAAGTCATGCATATTAAAGGAAGTAATTATAGCTCCATGCATTTTTTATAAGGCAACTAATAACTCATTACTGTGATGACTGGCATGGATTCTACAAAGTAATTTCCTGTTTTATTTTTTAATTCCACTTAGCTATGATGCCTTGTCAGTTTTACTCTGTGTCTCTGTTTGTTTTCCGGACATTTTTTTTTAATAATGCCTCTTTTTAATTAGCTGTCATTGTCCCTTGTTTATGCATCTCCTGTAAAGCTCTTGCCACTGGCCTTCAGTTCCCAGTCGAGCATTTTTTATTATTGCTTCTCCGTATCCTTTCCTGTAACTTTTGAGCACAGGATGGGTTTTGTATTCTAGTTTGATTTTTCTGGAGACATTTACTGCACTGATTGCTTTGAACTGCCTTCCTGTGTAATCCCTTATTACTCACCTAGTCACCAAAAAAAAAAAAAACAATTAAAAGGGTAGGGTTCATTTTATCCTTATGCTAAACAAGAAAATAGAATATTTCATCTTTCAAATAAATGCATCTATTTTAGCCTTGTAGTTCTGTGGTTGTAAGGCTTTCCTTTTGGGTATGTCAAATAGAGGAAAAAGTCCGTGTACAGTGACAGATGTGAACCGAACCCTTCAACAAGTCACTAAAAGTTCCTCTGTCAAATTCCTATATTTGGGTCGGCTCCTTATTCAGGGGCCCTACAACTATAAGCAACAGCGTAGAAATTAAAAAAATTAAATTACATGAACTATTTCCTCGACAGACGCAAAAGCCCTGGCATGAGTTGCTTTGCTGGAAAATTATCAACATGATTTTGTAACGCAATGCAATGCAATACGCTGCTCTGTTTGGGTTATAGAGAAATAAGTTTTAGGATTTAGTATTTTCACTGGAATACAATTTCATAATGTGTCAACTGGTTGTTTTACATAATCGCTATGAGGCTTAAGTTAACAGTGCTTCCTCTCCTTCACATCCCCAAGTTTTTACAGTGACACATAATCTCTCTTGGCTGAACAGTTCAGTATTGAGGCTCCAGTATCACCATTAACTAAGATGTCTCTACTTAAGAGTTTGGCAAGGTCACGTCTTGGCTCTGAATTTAGGTTTATTATTAGATTAAAAATAGTGGCAATGTGTTTATACATTCTGAAATTTGTTGCTGAGTTGTCTCAAACCAAGAAACAAAATTTTAGTGCATTAAGAATCCCTTCATAACGTTAAAAAAAGGTGTATTAGTTTCTTCACATCCAGGACTGTACAAGATAGTAGAAGTGGCCTGAGGTCTTGACTTTAGTGCCAGAGCAAAGAGAAAACTGTGACTGAGGTAGCAGACAGACCCTGAGCGACTCAATTCATTCTATTAATTCATTAGCAGAAATTCTCTGTTGGCTATTCTCACCAAACTTTAGTAATTCTTAGTGTACAACAAGTACTTGCCTTAAAAGCACTAAAAGAGATGGATTTTTACAATAATAGAAGTAAATGTTGTCACTGTCTGTCTGTGTACAGTTGTGACTCATATTCTGCTTTCACTGAGCCAGACTTTAGGTTATATTTCTCCAGATTTTCTGAAGGTCCTTCAGAGACTTTCTATGGAAACTGCCTGTTTTTCCACTCATTTTTAGTCCAGTTCTCATATCTGACCATTTCCAGAGAATTGCTTTTTTTGTTAAGCCACTTAACACCGACCTATTAGTTAATATAACAATGCCTCCACATCAGTGCTGATACAGAAGGAGAAGAAGTCAAAACACTAGGCAAAGAAATTGTTTTTTTTCCACAGTATTTCAAACTGTTTCAACAAGTCCTCTGTATAATCTGCGAATCTCTGAAGTTCTGTTCGCCAGCCACTGCATAGTAGGTATGGTGACGCCCTTACATTTCAACACTGGACCTCTCCACACCCTCATCCAATGATGTTCTAACATCAAGGTCTAAGACCAGCTTCCGGACCAGTGATTCCCAAAATGTGCCCCGGGAAGGTACTGCAGGTGGGCCGTGGTAATAACAGAACTTCAGTTTGAAATGACTCACAAGTATGTACAGTTACAAATTTATATAAATGTATTTATTCATATGAAAAGTATTAAAACTGGTAATATTTATAAACAACAGCATTTTGAATTAAATTTTCAAGGAAACATATCACCCTCTCTTATATTTGTATGGAGTAACGGTTTAAGATTTGTTGAGCCCAACAGATTTTCTGGTTTTTAAGTGGGCCGCAGCACTCTTGACTTTAGGAATGGCTGTTCTAGACCAGTGGCATTACTGGAAAGGTCCCCAGGATGGGAATTTGGGGCAAGTGCCACCCATTGCTACCCGTCTGTACACGCCCCTACTCAGTGAAGACAAGCTGCTGCAAATTTCATTAAAAAATTGCAGTAAAACATCTAATTAAAAAAAAATTACACTAAAATTCTTCTGGAGCTGTCTATCTTTAATTAAACCACACCACCTCTCACAAGTGTCACTGCGCAGGAACAAGCGCCCATGAAACAATAAGACCCGTATCCGTGACAGCACGGGACAAGGCACGAGCCTTTTTGTCGCTGCCTGGTGATGTGTCCCGGTCACTCTCACTAAAGCCTGTAGGAGACACTTTTCCCTCAGCATGAAGGCTGTTAGATCCGCTACACATGTTAGCTATGAAGGTATCTACAGCACGTGCAGCCATCAAATAAAGTTTGACAGCAGCGGAGTGTTCTTCAAATATTACAACCCTATTCTTCCGCCAAGTTATATAGTTCTTTAACGGAAGAAAAACAAAAAGTCATGTGACGCTAAGCAGCGGCATGCTAAGACTTTATGTTAAAATATTCAAATTAATCGCTACGTGCTCACAGGTGTCCCATAACTGACGCTTTTGCTGCCGTCTAAAAACGTCCCTAGTTTAAAATCAAAGCACCGGGACTGCCTGCTTGTCTCGGTTTACTCGCGAATCACTTCACGTGCACATCCCGTGAAGATAATGAGACCTCAGCGGTCCTGCATCAGTGCGGGTGTCCGCACTTCAGCATCAGCCCCGCGCCTCCGGAGCACTGCGGTATACTCGCCGCGTGAGTTACAGAGAAACTGGACCAGAAATTACACACTCGGTGAATACCGCGTGAGATTATGGAAAGACGTCCTCCTTCAGTCCCGTGCAAAGTTTCCCACGAGTCCCGCAGGACACCTGAGAGCGAGTACCTACCGTCAATCGCCATGATGCTCCGTCCCGGACTCTACCAACTGTAGGGGGGTGGGGGTGTGATGGAGGCGGCCGGTCATTCATTTGTGTGTGTGTGTCAGAGAGAGAGCGAGAGAGGTTGTGTAACAGTTCTATATGTATATATGTATATGTGTGTGTATATATATATATATATATATATATATGTGTATATATATGTGTGTGTGTGTGTGTGTGTAAACATCTAATAATTATATAAAACGGGCTACAAATAATAATATGTGCAGTATAACTGTATTATTGATGTAGGTTGGTTATTTTTGTTCTCCATGGTTACATTCATTTCGATTTCATTCGTTTGTCCAGTTGTAGTAACCTACACTTTAGAAGTGTGCTGTTATGCTACATTATTCCAGTTATTCCACCTCATTTCTGGGGCGTTTAACTGCAGTCCAATTGCACTCTCTTTCCAAAAAATTGTAATTGTTGAATAAAAAACCTAAGACCCGATATTGATAAGATAATGATAAATGCTTCTGTTTCTTCTGGAGGAGGGACCCTCCTGCTTCCTCACTTGATCATGAGAAGGCGTAGCCCATCTTCCTCCACCGCTTTTTATCTCCTCAAACCTCTACCTCCCCTCTCTCCCTCCACCTCTCCACCACTCTCCGTTTTTTTCTTTCTCCCCTCCCTTCCTCATCATTTTTCTTTTCTTTTTTCACCCTCGCTTAACTTATTCTTAACTAACAATAAATATAATCAACCATATTTTTACTTGTGCCAAATCAATGTCTTCATTCAAGAATAATTCATCTTAAGAATAAAAACAATAAAAAAAAAAATAGTAGAGTTTATTCTGTGCTTACGTCTTAAATTGGCGCGGTAACCAGGTAACTTAAACAATCACTTGTTACAACCAAAGTAGAAACAAGGCTGTTAGATGCTCTTACAACCAAGAGCTCTGAATACACTACCACCCGTACCTTGAAGCAGCAGCAGAGGACCACATCGTGTGACACTCCTGTTAGCTAAGAACAGAAAACTGAGGCTACAATTCACAGAGACTGATCAAAATTAGACAACAAAACTTTGGAAAAACATTGCCTGGTCTGATGAGTCTTGATTTCTGCTGCGACATTCAGGTGGTAGGGTCAGAATTTGGCTTAATAATGAATATGAACGCATATGAATATGAATGAATAAATATGAACGCATAGATCTATCATATTGTATCAATGATTCAGGCTGCTGGTAGTCTAATTATGTGGGGGTGTTTTCTTGGAACATTTGGGCACCTTAGTACCTACTGAGCCTTGTTTAAACACCACACCCTGTCCAAGTATTGTTGCTGACTATGTCCTTCCCTTTACGACCACAGTGTACCCATCTTCTCATGGCTGCTTCCAGCAGGAGGACAGCATGCTGTCTCACTGCATTCAAATGGCCTTCACACGCACCACATCTCAATCCAACAGTGCACCTTCGGGGTGTTTTAGACCCGTAGATTCACATCATGAATGTGCAGCTGACAAATTTGCAGCAACCGCATAAGGCTTTCATGCCAGTATGAACATGTCTGAAGAATGTTTCTAGCACTGTGTTGAATCTCTGACATAAAGGATTAAGACAGTTACGAAAGCAATAAAATAGTCCAGCAAGTGGATCTAATATTGCCTGTAAGCTCAATAAAAATAAAATATTGCAGAAAAACAACGCCAGATCAGTTTCTCCTCGTCGTTAACAAACAATCAAGCGTTCCCCCACACTGCTGACGTCACTACGGGAAGTCACGCCCATTAGGCTTCCCCTTACTTTACATTTCCGCAAAGTTTTGGAGCTGTGGCAGGCTTCCCTTAATCAGGTTTATTACAGTTTTGTTTATAGACATTTATAAGCTAAGAGAAAAGATGAGTGAAATTAAGCCCAAAGATAAAGGGTCGAGTGAAGAGAGCGCCGCGGAACAAGACTGGGCAGCGGCTAAGGCTGCTTTCGAGAACCTCAAATCTAACAAACCCAGACCTGTGAGTGTTTTAATGCTATTTTCCTTTTCGTTAGCATGTTTGCTGTGTTATATACTTTCACGAAGAGTTGTTTGGGTAACAAACCCCTGAACATGTCTTGCATTTTCCTTTTTTCTCCTTGTTCATGCACCCCCAGCCCAAACCCAAGAATGCAGTCACCATCGCCGTCTCCTCTCGCACTCTCTTCAACATGAAGGCCGAGAGGAAGATCTTTGAGGAAGAGGGCTTAGAAAAGTATGTCGCTTTCCAGCAGGAACATGAAAACGAGCCTCTAAAACCAGGACCTGCTTTTCCCTTCGTCAAGGTAGGCCTGGGCCCCTGTACTGTCAAACCTGCTGTGCAGGGCGTGTCCCCTCAGAAGTGTTCATTCACTATTACAACTGTCTGTGATCACATAGTTAAAGCCAGGGAATACTTATTGATAAACAGTAATAGCTAACAAGGGGCTGCATATCTATCCCTACACCTAAGAGGAGGTGGTGTAAATGCAAGTTTTTGGCTGTTGTCACTGCTAGAGCAAACATGGCTAAAATAAGAGAAATACCTAACACCGCACCAATTGCTTAATATTTAACGTCTTCATTGCTTTAAAACCGGTTTTACTACTTGTTACAATGACACGGTACAAGCTAGGAAATCAAATCATTTTTCAACAAAGAAGACTGAGAAGTGTTCCTGTAAAGCCTGATAGGTGCTGAGAGCTGATGTTTGCACAGGTTTATCAGGTTCATTGTCTCACAGAGAGTTATTTTAAAACAGTTCTGGTTTTCTCATTTGACAGTTACTGTCCCTGTGGTTCATAATGAGGTGCTTCAACTTTGCTAGCACAGCTGGTACCATAGCCACTCCTGCCATTCATAACAGCCAAACTGTCCAAACACAGAGCATTACAACATTAATGAATTTGGTACTAAATGCAAGGTTAATGTATTAGGTTGAAGTCATTTTACATAATAAATTATCAGCACAGTGTGTTTTTGTGCAATAATATACAAAGGGCCCTATCATCATTAATAGATATATACTTTCTATTCCAACAGTTGACTGTCGGATAATAACACATAGATGAAAATATACTGGTAGTGCCCACAGCATGGAATAATAAATGTGACTTTTTTAATAGTAATTTCTCATATGCATGCAGCCCAGAAAGTCTACTCTACCTAGAGGGTATTTTAGATGTAGGTGTCAGATGGGTTCAAGGTGGGGGTGGGACTACATCAGAGATCTGCTGTTGATGGATAAGTTGACAGAAGAGGTCAGCCAGGAGTTTCCATGGACTATGATGTTTGCAGACAACATTGTGATGTAGTGGGAGTAGGGAGCAGGTCAAGGAGAGTCTGGAGAGGCAGAGTTATGCACTGGAGAGAAGAGGAATGAAAGTATGTAGAAGCAAGACAGAATACCTGTGTGTGAATAAGTGTAAGAGTGAAGCTGTAAGGAGGAGAGGTAGTGAAGGTAGATGAGTCTGAACCATCCAAATCAACAGACAGTTCACAAGAGAGGTGTAGGAGAGTGCAGGCAGGGTGGAGTGAGTGGAGACGAGTGTCAGGGGTGATTTGAGACAGAAGGATCGCAGCAAGAGTGAAAGGGAGGGTTTACAAGATGGTAGTAATACCTGCTATGATTTGGAGATGATGGCACTAATAAAATGGTAGGAGGAGGACCTCAGAGAAGGTTCCTGGATGCAGTGTGAAAGAGCTGGTGTGAAAGAGGAGGTGGCTAGGGATAGGGTGAGATGAAGGTGAATGATCCACTGTGCCAACACCTAAAGGGAGCAGCTGAAGGATGAAGATCAAGGGGGGAAAAAATATTCATGGCATCAAGAATTATAATGTTGTAGGAAGTTTTTTTTTCTTCTTTTTTCACAAAGTAGTTAAAAGTAAAGACAGACAAGAATGTGATGAATGATGTATAGTAAAGGTCAAGCCAGCTAGGAATTTATCTATTAAGTCATTGCTGGCCGCACTGCCGGTGCACCCATTTGCTATGTATCACCAACCAATCATCGCTCTATAAAGTTTATATTTGTTCCCATTTTTGG